CAGGCAGGCAGGCAGGCAGGCAGGCATGATTGTCATCTGACAGAATGAATTCCTGTAAAAAATCTGCCCTGAGGATTTGGTGTACCTGAGAGTGGCAGGCAGCAAAGACTTCACTGTTGATGATGCTGCACTGCTTCTGTGACCAGGCTTTCCTATAGGGATTCTTGGAGCACGGATCCTTGACACATTTGGCATCAGGACATGTGGGCGATACCTTCCAACTGTTTCCAAACTCCAGCACATTACCTACTACAGACCGACTCCGAGTTGTAAAGTCATTATTTCCATTTCCATCATAGTTCCCACATAGCCCACAGACCTCACCCTGTAGAGAGAAGCATATAAATTGATTGAGTTCTAGAGCATGTGCAACCCACTTAATGCTTGGTTTTTCTGTTTAATTAACATATCATCAACTCTAATGATCATTTATAATAGGAAAAGTTCATTTCTTCTAGTTTTGAGGATATTAATCCGATGTCTTAGAGTATTCTTTATTTTTGTTTTCACTGCAGTTATTTTAAGCCTTTCAATAAAAGGAAAAAAAAAATACATGTGGTATTATATTTAAATTTTGAAACATTTACTATCATGTTCATTATGTATACTGAATTATGTTGGTAAACAATTATTACTTAATTATCAAAGAAATCAACATATATGTGTTGTAAATGAAAGGAAGGAAGGAAGGAAGGAAGGAAGGAAGGAAGGAAGGAAGGAAGGAAGGAAGGAAGGAAGGAAGGAAGGAAGGAAGGAAGGAAGGACAATATGTATTGTTTTGTTTCATTTATGAGAAGCATTAACTTAGGAGCAAAAAGACTGATGCAGATTTATCCCACCCCCCTTCCTCAATAGAAGGATTCCTTTTCTTTGATCTTGTAGATGCTGAAGCAAGCTATAGGGGAACAATTTTCACCAATTTCCCACTTCTTTCTGCAATCCCGTGTCCCACTTCATTGTGGAAGATTCCTCAACTATTAGAACAGTTTTTGAGGATTCTTTCCTTTCCCTCCACCATGAATAGGACTTTTTAAACTACAAGTCTAGATAAAATCTAGATGGATGTTTTTATGAGAACTTAGATCCATCTATGTCAGTTGCTGCTGAACACCTAAGGAATTCTACCCATGGGAGGTGTGGTTTTTAATGCTTTTAAATGAGAACTGAATTCCTTCTGATTCAGCAGGATCCCAGCTTACTATGTGGTATTTTTAAAGAGCTGGAGGAGCTGCTGTAAAAAAGGCAGGGCAGAGAAGACAATTTTTACTATTCCAATTACACATGCATGACTATGGATCCATCCTTACATTTTAATTGTTTTGTGCTTTTAATTTTAAACCATTTTGACTAGGGCTTTAGATAGAGGGCTAGGGAACTAAGGAATGAATAGACATTTTTTAAAAAACTGTGGAAAATATAGGTGAGCCTGTCACTCTAGACCAGTTTTTCCTCAATCTTGGCCATTTGAAGATGTATGGACTTCAACTCCGAGAATTCCCCAGCCAATATAGCTGGCTGGGGAATTCCAGGAGTTGAAGTCCACACATCATCAAGTGGCCAAGGTTAAGAAACAATGCTCTAGACAATGTCTTCAATGATCTACTCCAGCCTTCCTCCTTCTCCACTCTAAAACTGCCTCCAGTTATCTGTTTGTCCCACAAGGTGTGGCAGGGTGAATGTACTCCAGGTCCTTTCCATTAAACAATGACATCTAATGGGATCTAGGAAGCATGCGTTCTCTGTTGTAGTATCTGCCTTATGGAACATGCCCCCTGCCCCAAGATTAGATATTTTATTTTATTAATTTATTTGTACCCCATTTTCCAGAATGACTCTGGGGGGCTGTTGTTGTGATGTTTTAAATTATATTTATATTATTTTGTTGATTGTTAGCCACTCAAAGTCATGTGCCAATCAGGCAGCCATATAAAACTCTTTAATAAATAAATGAATAGACACCATACGTCTGACTTTTAAACAATATCTCACCTTGAAATCTACACTGAGTTTGATAAATATGCTTGCTTTCTTGTCCCATAAGATAATTAGTCCTTTCTTAGTCTCAATCACTAAGTAGATACCCTTTTGGTGAATCATATATGGTAGCTGACCTCCACTCCCTCTTTTTACCACTTCATAGTGCTCCTCGGTAAGTATCAGTTCATAGTTCTGGAAGAGTGAAACAAATAATAGGGAAACAATGACAGTTTTCCAAAGTCAAGTTTTGAGTTATTTATCAACAAAGTATATACAACAGTAACTTTATAGATTTATTAGCCAATATGGTAGATAAAAGCTGAATATTTCCTTAAATAAATATCAAGGTATCATTTGCATAACTGATCATCCAGTTAATAAAAACAATATATAGAACAGGGTGAACAGCATGGGACCTTCCAGAATAAGAACTGCCTTGCGTCTCTGTGGGCATAAGTACAGCAACAGTGTATAGAGTATGGAGGTGTCAGCCCTTTGAGGAAGATCAGACTAGGAAACCAAACTCATGCAGGCTAATGCTACTTTTATTATAAGATTATAGAAACAGAATCTTGCAAGTCTGAATCCACTTTCCCCCTCTCTCCCTTTGTCTTCATGAGAACTAGGGAAGGTCTTTCTCAGGTTACAGTTCTGTCCTGGACTTAGGTTTCTTTTATCTGACCATTGTCTTGGCAGCAGTTCTTCCTCCTGTTCCCCAAGGTAATTCCTTCTATCTATTACATCTAGTGCCTTAAATGAATTCATCTTTGTGCTAACTAGTTTCCAAACTGTATCCTTAGTGTCTTTAAAACTGCTGGAATGCAAAGGGCATTTTTAGGAAACTCTAGGAATTGTACATATTCAGTAGGATATTTGACATTCTGTTTTTGATTTTGCACAAGAATTAAACCATTTTGCACATCTCTCTTCATTTGCCTACATTTCCAATACAATTTGGCGTGGTTATATGAGAATCCCAATACCCCATGTGCTCAACCAAAGTAGTTGCATGAAGTTTGGGGGACTGAATAAGACACACAAAATACCTTCCTTTTCAATTATATAAAGTTGTTTTGGAAGATATTTTCTGAGATTAGTGAATTCATGGTGGACCATCAATGCTTCAGAAATGTTACTCACTTCCACGAACACTTTAATAGATTTAGAACAAGTGGTTCCAGTGGTGCCACAAGGAACATTTTCACTGATGATTCGGAATGACCCCTGAGTGGAACTATTCTGGCCACAATAATCCTAAGAAGGAAGGGTGTAGAATTAAAAAAAAAAAACAATTACTGCCTTCTGTGGTAGATCCAGACAGTTTCTCCGGAGAAAACAAGAAAGCAATGCTCGATACCTGCATTAGTGTATATTCACATTGCCCATTGAATATATAACGCTTGTCATCAAAGGTGATATAATGCCCATCTCCATAAATAGCACAGGTTGCTAGGCATGCCTCCATGGTACATTGCCACATCCTGTTCTTACATACACTAAAATAAGAAAAGGGAAAATGCATTTCAAGAATAATTCTTCTGTTTGCACCCATAAAAGCAGTTTTATGTATTTATCTATTACAGCATGTTTTAGTTTTGTAGAGCTCAGCTAAATGATTAGCTCATGAACTAATCACAGATTATATGTGAGGAGGCAAGAGTATGGGGTAGGGAAGAAAAATGGAAAGAGTAGAGTAAGTGGCATTTCATTTAAGAAATTAAGAAACTAGAAAAGTAAAAATGCAAGGAACTGAATGTTAATGTAAAGTATTCTTTAAAGCAACTTTAATTAAAATATATAAAAAATTGCTATCCTACACTATGGAAAAAGAATGTACAACATTTTTCAGATTTGTTCTGAATCAATAAGATTCTCATTGCTATTGATTATGAAGATCAATATTCCACAATAAAGTTTGCTGACTGACTGATTATGAAGTTATACTGCATCCTTCTCTGACCCAGTATCCTCCTGAAGTGTGGCTATTACAACTCCTGCCTTAAAAGTTGGGAATTCTGGGGGTCTCCCAAGAATTTCATACCAAGCATTGATGTTATAGTATTTTTACAAGGTAAATTGCTTTGCACATATGTTTATAAAGAAGATGGGCTATACATTTATAAAAATACCCATTTCCATATCCAGCTATGCTTTTCAATGACAGATGGTGCAAATGGGAATTATTGCATTCATTCATTCATTCATTCATTCATTCATTCATTCATTCATTCATTCATTCAATGTATAGCTTGCCTTTTCAAAGCAGTGTACAGAGTGTTCCTTCCTTCCATGCTTCCCCACAATAACCTTGTGGGACAAGCTGGATTGGGATGGAGTGACTGGAGCAAAGTAAACCTGTGAGCTTC